CTGCCCAAATGGTATCTAAAAGGCGAAGGTGTTCGATATGGTTGAGCAAAGTTTTCGTTTTCCCAACCTCTTCTATGTGGTGGTCTTCTATTATTGCCTTCATTTTTATAATGATGCTTTGGATCTACGATCTTCCTGATCTGTTCATGGTTTCCATTCTTCTTGTACTGCTTGTTTACGCTTCGTACAGCTCTTGTCGGAATCCGATGTCGACGAGCATTGAGCATTCTTAATTGTAGGTGGACTTTTATCTGTTAGGTCGGCCCTTTTTTAGAACAGCAAGGATAAACACTCATCGAAATGCGAGTGCTGACAAGCCATGGTAATTATACCATAGAAAGCTGAGTTGGAATGAAATGGTGCCCCGGTAGCGTATTTGCCCGGTGAGAGGTGCGGGTTCGAGTCCCGTCCTGGGGCGAAAGTTTTGTTCACAACCAAGCATTCTTGTGAAACATTTATCTATGATTTGATGTCTACTGTTTCTCTGCTAAGACGGCTATCTCCATGGCGAGAATCCAGTAGATGGGGGAGTCCAACGGCGGGCGGGAAGATGAACGGGGCGTACAAAGGGACGGGTAAAGCCCTGTCACATCTCCACAGGCGCTCCCTCCACTGCGAGAGTACCACATGTCACTTTCTTGGGGGCTCGCCCTCCCCTCCTGTTTAAGTGGGCACATTTGCTTTTCTTCACATACCTTCACATACAGTTTATCTTGTCACCCACTCTGAGGGTGGACAGTGGCACTATGCGGTCGTGGGGAGCCGTAGATCTAATTCACACAGACCAAAGGGGCCTCATTGTTCCTGGGGTTGGTTCATGGTACCAGCTTATGTGGCCAGATATATTCCTAGTACATAAGTATGAATAAAAACGGTGAACCTTTACATCTACTGATGTCCCAAAGTCATTACACTGCAGAGGTCAAGCATGTCACACAATAAATAAAATATATTTAACATATAACTTCGTATATATATATTATACGAAGTATATAATAAAGGATAAAGGATAAAGCATTTGCCGTTGATCAATCCCTTTTGGGATGCGGCACGCATTCTACTTCCATTTGTACATTCGTAGTGGCGTTTGAATGCGATGTGGCCTATACAATGACTTGCGGGGGCCAGCCGATGTTCAAGTCAGTGTTTTTATCCTCCCAGACAAGTCTGGTACCAATTAACCGACCCCGGAGGGATGGAAGGCTTGGTTGGCCCGGGCGACTCACGACCCAGGATTTGATCCCCGGACCGCTCGCGTGGTAAGCGCGCCACTTGTCACTACACCACTTCCGCCCTTATATCCATATTTCTTTATTATATATTTCTAGTAATAAAAGTATGAATAAAAAACGGTGAAACTTTAACATCTACTGAATTCCCAAAGTCCATTAAACGCAGAAATCCTCCTATATAAACTCACCCGCTCAGTGTAAGGCAGAGCGGAGGGTCGCATTTCAAAAGTAAATCGCTCACTGTCCAGCGGCTTGCTAATGGGCTTCAAAATGTGCTTATATTCAAATATGCCAATATACATATATTATAATATGCTTATATGGATTCATTCAGATCCTCGACACATCTGGACCTCATAAGACGCGATGCTTGCAAAAGCTAGAAAAAACAATCGGTCAGCTGGATTGGAAAGGATTCAACAACATTGTCGGTCTACTTTCGAGAGGTGAGTCCGTTACTTAGTCAGCCTTCAATACCACCTCCAATCGTCCTCTTCGGAGTTATTCCACCACGCCCCCACACATCATGATAAATGTGTCACTTTTGTGTTTGTAGTCGTACCCCCTTTGTCAACGAGCATTACTGCGGTGAAACTTTGCCACACGCGGCGTTTGTCCAGCTGTAAATTCTAGCTCGCTGACAGATGACTTTGATTTATTAAGTTGAGTAAAAGATTGTGACTCGATTAGATGTCGTTGAATAGATTACGCGCTCGAAGATTGATTGCTGTCTAGTTACAACACAAATTATGTGATACTGCTTTCTAATCGGAGGGCTCATGGTCTTTTCAGTGTCACATTTTGGTACTCAATGAGTCAAATATCGCACTTCTACTAATCTGGTTATGGTAGAAATTTTTTGCGCTGGTTCTTTTCGTATTCTGATCCCCACCCCCACTTTCCTGTTTTGGGACATGTCTCGTATATGTGCTTGGCTGTCGGTTTGATTACATCTACAACACTTCAATTAGATTATCGTGGTGATGTTTTGCTCGCGGCCTTCATCGTCGAATTTTATGGTTCGTTTGGCAGACAACATTACCTTCAGTCACTAATGCGCTCTAAGTGTCGATAGGCACTTCTTGAAGATGAGCACTGATAGATTTTTGGAATAAGCCATGCATAGGAAATGCTCTTGGAATTAGAGACATTTGGGCATTGTGAAATATTAGGTTGAGCAATAATTATCCGCCGTTTTCATTTCACTCATAAGTTTATTAACAAAACCAAACAAAAACAACAATAAATGCGTAATCAACAAACGCTCTCGAACAGTCCTCTCTGCAACCGTGCCTTCATCCCAGGCTTCATTGATTCTACGAGCAGATGCAGAAGCATTCGGTTTCGAGCTCAACTTGCACTCATGTAGCAGGGGCAATCTTTTTTGCTAGTGTGTAAGCTCCATGGTGAAGTAAATACACAAGTGTTGTCTTGACCTTTGAAAATGATCAGCAAAAAATCAAAGAACCATAAGCCTGAAAAAAGGTTAATCATTGCTCAATCTAATATAATGACTCGGATAAACCATGCATTCGTATGGCTTATGAATCTTGTTTCCGCTTTAACGCCAGCTGGCCACTGTGGAAAGCTTCCTGCTTTGACGGGCTATGCTTAAATGCTCCCACCTTTGCAAAAGGTCCCGTTTGTTAGTGGAAACACGACCTACGCCAGTCTTCATAAAGGCCTCATTGCAACACCGGGAGTTTCTACAGCGCTGTTTGTTGAATATGCTTCAGGAATAAATTTCAGGGACAATCGTCAGTTCGGCTTACGAGCCGTCCATTCAGGCGTTGATACGAATTATTGATGTACTTGATGAGCCTGTCGTGGGAGGTCGCGACTCTCTGGGCCTTGTTATCTGTCATGTTCTTCCTTACCTTCTGTTCAACTTCGACGCACCGAATCACTTGTGTATGTCTGTATGCGCTGTTCTTAGACAGGTTAGCTTACCTTTTCCTTTTCCTTCCTTTCGGTCCAAATTCCAGATGACTTTTTAGTACTGCGTGGAATCGCTGAAGAATGCGGACATTTCGCAGGCGGATCATCCCCTGAATAATTTAGCTACGGTATGATTTGTTCAATGATGAGGAAATCCCTGACTCTTAATTACGTAACCTTAATAGCTTAGCTTTAGATGTTGTCGCAATACAGCACGAAAACGTTCTCCAAAGATCGCTATCAATGGACAAATGTGTGTGCTACAGCAGTAATCTTGTGAAGGCAATTGCTTGTCAGTAGTACCAGGCAAATCGATCGAGTGTAGCGGAGGTGAGTCGGGGTCGGTCCTCGCTATCCCGCTTCCTCCGTGTATAGTCCCACGGATGTGCAGAGCGAGTTTGCGACTTTGAGTACCGTTCTACTCTCAAAATTAGCGAGGATATCACTTCACCTGTCCCAATAGGTTACTTTACTAGTGTTGACAGGGCATCATAATTTAATGCTGCTTAAGTCCTGCGATATGAGTGGTGTATCGGCCTTCAGACTTGACTCGAGAGTCGCCACATTGATGCGCGCTTCTGTGAAGATAAGCCTCAAAGTCGATAGCCTCATCACACCGGCGTACTCCCGCGACCACTTCGTAATACATTATGACAATCTGCGCGATGATTGTCCGTCATGACCTCCGTGCGACCCTTGAGAGGCTGTCACAGATGAACCGTCGTTCACGTGAGTGGTCCGAGCATGAATAGACAGGGCTCTGAACTCTGCAGCATGCGTTGGTCGGAAATCCACAAGTGCCTTTGCGCACGCAACAATGCGTGAGTAGTCAAAGCTGTGGTCTTTCGTAATTGGAGGTGGGGTTACAGCAATAATGCAGACCATGCCCCGTGGAGATTTACAGACGCAGGTCTTAGCATCGTATCCTGGGATGCGATTATGCGAGAAGTTCGGGAGCCCATATTTGATGGAGGATTTTCCGGCGTCATTCGTCGGATTGGCTTCATGGCGGCGGCAGCACTTCCGTTCCCATTGACGCCATCGACAAGTTGTTAATGATGTATGAGTAGTGGTGGCAAGAATTGCACGATAGTCCCTTTCAGCAGATCCAGGCTTGTAAAATCTTCCTCAAGAAGCTGTCATGATGACCGCGCGGAGTTCAAGATGTCGAGCGTTAAGATGTAGTTGAAGGTTCGCCACATGTGGTTCAAATCTTAACTGTACCCATAGCAACGTGTCGGTTCTATTTACTATGCTTTTACCGGAATGGCGTGCTTTGAGGTGCAACGATTGCGCTGCTCGTGTCCGTCGTTATGCCTTCTGTCACACAATTCCCTACCCTGGACGATACTGCTAAAGACTGCGGATGTGCCGCCAAGACCAGGTGGGTTGTCAATTGTGTAGAGATCATTGGGCGGCCCGTCTCCGCATCTCAAGAGCTACATAAACTAACATCACGCTGCGCTATGAGCTGTACTGTACCGGCTTACGTACGCGCGAGAGCCCTCCACACGTGGGCGCCTCCTGCGTGCAGCTGTCTGAACCAAAGGATGAGAGAAGCATGTGTGATCCTGAATCTCACTAAATCTAGCAATAGAATTAGTTCTTGATCGTAAAACAAGCTAGCTGTTTCATAACTAGCCGCTCTGGAAGCTCACGCGTTTCCGTGACACGCGATTATGACCATGTTTCGTTTTAGATAAGCGATGTTTGCCGAAGAAATTATACCTAGCAGCAAAGAAGTGGTGTTATTATAGGTTGCATTTTTTTCTGCTAACCCGACGTTTGGTCCGAAGGATTCCCTCGAGCCGAATATCTACAGACAGTCACTAGACTAAACAGCCACTACTGCGCTGTACGTTCCAGGCGCAGCTAACTCAGGCGGCAACTTAAAAAAAAAACGAAGTATGACGTATCGTCTCTGCCCTATGTGCTTCATAAGCAGTCAACAAAGCCACGTACTATACGACAACTGTCACTGCCCGTTCGTTAGTGCACGGTAATAAAATCGAGAAATAGGATTTTTACGATTCGATTCGAGAGATCGCGTATTCCGTGAAATGACGTTAGGACATTATGGCAGCGGGCGTTAGAGATCAGCCCCGTCTCCCAGTTGGCGAAGCTCCGCACAGGTTGCACGAGAGCGTGAGTTGACCTCGGTGCCCGTAGTTGGAAGTTGTACTGTTCCCGGGGCCGTGTAGTGCAGGCCGCCGAGGGGCGGCGAGTGCGATCTATGCGAGCCGCGTGGCTGAGTCTATTACGCGTTGAGTGGATAGACTAGTAGCGGAGAGTGTCGTAAGTCTGGAATAGGGCATGGGTTCAGCGGAAGTGAGGAATATGCGCATTCGACTGCTCAATGAATCACCGGGCGAGAGAGAGGGGGTCCGCAGGCTTGTCGGCGGGGCGTGGGCCCAGGAAAGACGATAGACTCGAAGGTGGCCTTGTGGCACTGAATGTTACATTTGCATCATTGTACTCGTAGCGCCTAAACTGCTAGGTTTGCCAATAGGCATTCAAGCTGCGTCAACCGGGTGAGGCCGTAGGTCTGTTGCAGAAGAAATTCACGGAAAACAGGTTCCATACACAGATGATGACAGCTAGCTAGCATCTTGCATCAATCACTCCCTTTAGTACAGTGCGCTACAAGTTCTATCTCAGTCCAAAATCATAGTGGCATTTCAAATGCAATAAGGCCTATACCATAAAGGGGGGGGAGGACGTACAAGTCAGTGCTACACCCTCCCAGGCTAGCTTAGTACCAGCAAAAACGGTTTTGGAGGATGGAGCTGAGCTAGGTACGCTACCTCCACTCATCGCAGGCATTGTATTCTCCCTAAGCCCAGGCTCCAGGGGGCGTGCGCGAGCGTGAACATCGACTTCCACCCTAGATTCCCACATATCGAACAATGTTCGGTTTACAACTTGGGTAGGTCTTACTTTTAGTGCTGTTTATCAGAGTGCTTTTCAGATGCTCGAGAAAGGAACTGCGTCGATGCATGTATACGTGCTGCACATGCTGTACCTGCTGTTGTTGAGAAGAGACGCTGTTACGTCGCCGTTGGTGATAAATGCACAGGTTAGTTCCAGAGGTTTCTAGTCAGCTCCAAGTTGGTATATTTCATTTGGCTCGCAATTAAACGAGTAATCCTCTTTAGAGGTGCACCTGCCCTTTTGAGATGCCGTTCTTTCACGCGATAGGCGGCGTGACTCGCACCGTAATCCTCTGCTGCTGCTGTGACTTGTTGCGCAGCGGCGTTCAGCACACGCGCTATATGTGGCACTCCCCAGGAATTCAGCGATAATCGTTGGTGCTCAGGCGGCAAAAAAATTGCCGTGACGTTGCTGCGCCATCACTACGTATGGTATTTTTCCCCCGCACACGCTTACGCGTTTTCGATGGAGGCGAGGCGATGGGGACAGCCGCTCAGCGTGAAGACGATCGTAACTCGCGGTTTATTCGCGTTTCTGGCACAACATTTGTGCATCTGAACGACCACTGCTCCTGTCAGCTGGTTTGACCGCACGGAGCATTGCGCACATCATAAAAAGAACCTTTCCATTAGAAATTACGATTAGCCAAACTGAACCTCTGTGTTGAGGGCAAGGTCGGGCAGATAGCGAAAGCGATTACTCGCTGGTCGTTTTCACGTCGGTCCCCTCGTCGACGGAGGTTTACCTCTCGCACTACTATAACCGGCATGAACTCGTTTATGACCCCGCATGTTCAATCTAATGATTGCCGGGAAAGCCTTTTTGCATAGTTTACGACATTTTGATAGGCGCGCACCATATTGTTCGCAGGCGCGGCCTCGGCAGCGAATCGTCGCGCTCGCTCGCTAATCGCACACCCATTCGGGCAGCCCATCTGCGTCACATCCGCACTTCATCCCACCGACCAACGGTGTGCTCTATAGAACAAGGCGAATTGGAAGGAACTGTATTATAGTGGCATCGTGTCTGTACGACCCTTGAGTTAGTTGGGATATTACGCGACCGGACGCCTTCAGAACGGTGTTGGCTTCCGTGTATCGCACAAAAGGTGCGCCAGTTGATTGCAAATGTAGCAGTGTAGAAGATATTTCGGCTAAAACTAAGTATTCATTACTACTGCTGTAAGAATGCAATGTTTACTGCTCTTCAGGGGGCAGAGTACTCTTAAAATCCTCTAAACTTTTCTTTTAAATGATCACAAGCTCCTACTGGCTCAGCTTTTTTCTGGAAGCCGTCATTTTCTGGCAACGCACGTCCTGGGCAATGCAGAACCATGGGTGTTACGCTGTACCTTGGGCTCACAGAAATGTCACCCTATCAGATGGATAAATAGAAAGCATTCTTAACAGCTGCATTTCCAGAATCTGAACCTTAATTGGAAATTGAACGTCTTACAAAGATGTTGCTCCAGTTAGGGTTTGTTGGAGTGGTGGGCCTTCTATGATCAAATAGAAACTTTTAGAACCATCGATGATTAGCGGGAGAAAGAGCTATGTTTTCTCTCTGTATTTGACTGCGAAAATCTTTCTTCTTTTACTAAACTGCCATTTGTACGTACCGCTCGTCGCTGTCGGGTACTTCGATCGAGCACGGGGTCCGGAGTTGTCTCGAGAGGACATCCGGACACCTGTACGAAGCTTTGGTCGCGGGATGTGAAATCGTCCCGCGCGCTTGAACGCGGCGTAAACATTGTACATAAGTTTCATCTGTTACTCGCGTCCGCCTTTTGAATCCATTGTTCAAATAATAACTCTAATAAAACGTGAGTCCACATTCCACATATAAAAACAAATACTAAACTTCCGTTTTTCAGGTTATACGTAGCGTCTCACGGCATGTACAGGTACGTTACCCTTGTTTTATTATCCGTTATTTCTCCTGTGTTATCCCTCTATGAAGGTTTCGTGTCATCATTAATTTTTTCCAGGGAGTAAATTGGCGGGAAGCTGCACGGGTCTACAAGGTGGTGGTCGAGCAGTGGCAGAATGCAGAGCGCGACAATTCTGCGGTTCCCCAGTTTGGTGCCAGCGCCCTGTGTTGTAAATAGGAAAGTCTAAAGAAGCCCGAACTTTGGAGGGCACCAAAACAAGAATTTATCAGTCTCCAGCTGGAAACTAAGTTGTCATGATAAAAAAATCTTTTTTCCACAGTTTCTAGTGACACTTGTGCCGTTTTTTTATGTTTGTCGCTACAAAATAGGTGACGGAGACTCCCTCGCTGTTAGTCGTTGGTTGACCCTATATGGAATTTCACATTGGCTGGCAATGTGATGAAGTGCTCCGCGCCTTACTAGCCATATTCAATTTAAGCAGAGCAGTGGTGGCAACGTCTGGCGCCAGACGGTGGCGACTGTGTCCACAGCATTTCAGCAGCGCGATTTCGTCCGGCATATGTTTTCGTGGTCTCGCCACTGCCAAAAAGTCGTCGACCCATAGGGAGGCCGCAGTGACTCGAGGAGGGTTGTTCATTTACTGGAGCGGCCGGGCACGACGTAATAACCGCGTCTGATTTGAGATGATGCGAGGTCGTCGTTAAGTCTGTGTGTTCGACCCCTTTATGAGAGTAGTTTCTTTGAAGATAGCATCTCCTTCGGCAGTGCAGGCACAGCACATAGCGTCCATCGCGGCCGACGCGCTTAATGTGCCCGACACCTGGCGCTGTTCGGGGGCATGAAATCCGACCCTCCTCGTCACAGAATGTTGTTAAATTGTTAATGACCTCTCCGCGCGACAATTCCGCAACCCTTTTAACCAACCGCCCCCGAAAAGAAACATATGTACCGTATATGCGATTATCGGCTAAGCGCCTCATCGTTGTCATATTTTGACTGATGATATATTTGCATCGAGAACGGTGCGTGGAAAGTGGATTATTCAGAATGGTGACGGCACGTCCGGATTCGAATTTGAGCTTTCGCTGGTCTCAGCAGGATCTGGCTCTGGGTTGAGTCCCCCATCACCGAGGAAAAGCGTGCCAAGTGCCGAGTCCAGCAGTACCAATACCATTGGCAATGTGAGAAAGCAGATGCCTCCTCATGTGAGTTCGTTAACCTTTCCAAACATTCAGTGCCGGTGCAGTTTATTGGTAGGAGAGACGGTTTCATTTCATCTCTTCAGTTACGTGTCCGTGATCGCCTTGTCGGACTTCTGTCAGCGTCAGGCCTTCGTGTCGGTTTGCCGTCTGCTGTTTCAGTTGTCTTTTCTCAAAGTGAACTGGGCAGCACTGCTACTTCGACGGAAAGAATCTGCACGTCGTCACAGGTGTGTATAGAAATTTCCCCAATGGCACTGATCAATTATCTCGATTCATTAAGGAGGTTGCGTCAACGACATCACTTCCCGATCCTTCCGCCAGTATCACTGACTCGTTCCCACGAGTATTCAAGGTAACTTTCCGGAGTTCTCAGTATTCGGAAGCAACCTAAGGTTCATATTCAGGAGTTCGATTTCTTGGAAGCTGAACATGACAGCGTTTCGGAAACGGCAGACAGTTGCTTTGGATGGTTGTCGACGATGCGCCCAAGATCGATTGGAGGAGACGATCCTGCTCACGACGATGACGCCGATGTGGACGAGGACGAGGTTAACCCCTGCAACTCCTGTTTTCCGTTTTCCAAATACAAACCTGTTTCTAGGACTCCGAAAGTGCGCAGGCGAATTCCGAGGGTGGTGGAGCATCTACCTCTCGGCTTTCACGAACATCAGCCTCTTCTGACCGTACACCATGTCCATCAGAAGTGGATGAAGAGGAAAATGGTTTGTCCCTCAATATTTGTAGATCATTCTTGTCGAATCTATATAAACAACTTGCAGAAGCTGAGGAGGGCTTTGGTCATGACTCTCCGCCAACAGGAGCGATGCCGATGCAAGATCGCATCAGCCCGTCGTCTGCCGTGTCAAGGGATGCGCTTGAAAAGAGGTTGGACGTCGAATGCTGAGCATTAGTTCACGTGACCATTCCTGAGTTTAGGCCAAGCGATCGGTTGAATGGAGTCGATGAGGAGTCCATCGATGGATCATCGTTCTGCTGTCGTTCGCGAACATCGATCGGGGAATTCTATTCCCCGAAAACAACGCCAACCTCTCCTGTATACATTCAATGTCCGCATCATCTTGATGGAAAGGTAATTCGGACTTTTTTCTCGATTCATGGTCGATTGAACCAATTTTCCTCAGGTTGACGCCACGTGGATTTCAATCGTAGCTGAACTTCAAGATGATTCTGAAGGAGAACTCACCGCTTACGCCACTTTGCTTTTTACCCAACTCTTCAGGGTAAGTCAATCCCTTGAGATTGCTGACTTGTGCCCTATTTCTTGCCAACGCTTTGCCTGCTATGTTTGCCAATGCTTAGCCCTCACTCGTGGCTGAGATCTCATGGCGCGCGCTATTTTCGTCACGTTGTCACCCGATCGTGCCTTCTAGGCTAATCTCCTTCACCGTATCCGATTTCAGTTTTCTACCCTCTGTTCTTAGAGGGTATGCTTGAGCGCTCGCACCTTCCGCTGTAGCATATTTGTGATATCGCCGTATTGCAGTCATGCTGCGGACGAGTAGCGTCGTTACTGCGAGACGCCATGCACATCTTCTCGTCTCGTCCCCTGGCAAGAACCTTCGCGCATGCGCAGGACGTGCTCACCGGGGTGGCCGACTGTCCGTTCCTCTTCGTCACTGCTCAATACGTGAGTCTTACCCTACCTTGGGCCTTATAAGAGTCTGTTGCAATCGTATCTGCAATTTCAGCTGCGGTGTTCTGGGATTCTTCCTCGGCTAAAGCTGTCGTTGTTCGAACTTCGCGAACACTGGGAGACGTTCAATGAAAGAAAGGAGCAAAATATTCGGGTTAGTTCAGTACGCTACCATAACGCTCAATCTGTGGATTGCGTCACTTCATTTGCCCGAAGCTGACTTATCTTCGTCGGTCATCGTTTGCCATTGTTTTCCCAGTAGTCATCTGATTGCAAATTAGCTGCCGTCTTCCGACCGGAGGGCGTGGAAATTGGCGAAATTCAACACCAGTACGGCTTTGCCGCTGGGTTAGGCACGTCTTGGCAATTGATGACGGATGACTGTGAACATGATGAAATGGTGCTTAAATCTATTATTTTCAGCTGCTGAATTCGGTGAAGTCGGCGTACAAACTGAACGCTCTTGTTGGTTCAGCCTCCACGTTCACGACGAACAGTGTACGTGCTTTACGCATTGATTTAGGTGATGAAAAAAATCGGGGAATACGGTCGCCAATCGGCCAGTCAATAGTGCGATATTATCTATAAAACTGTTGAGCGTGTGGTTACATGAGACTTGTACCAGAGAACTTCCCCTTCTTGGTGCGCATTTTTCTTGGTAAACGCGAATACAGAAAGATTTAAAGGAGTGTAGTGTTGAGGTGGTGGTTGCGTGACCAAATCCCTCGTCGGTCTCCCTTCGAACCGGTTCCAGTTGATGAGTTCTATCTTAATGTGTTGATTGAGACGCCTGGAGACGACGATTTGCGCGCAGATTATCGTAGAGCGGAAGACGATTAGACACGCGCGCTGACAGCGAATCTGACCTGTGGGTTGTGTGGTGGCTGGCTGAGCGCCAGCCAGCTGTTAAGCGCGGAAGCAAACTTTCGGTGTTACAGGAGATGGAACTGGGCAAACTGCTAAGCAAGTTGTTCTTTCAACTGATGCTGATGAGCGACTCGTTGAACGATATGGTGCGTCTGGTGAACGAATCGCATGGTGCTCAGGTAAGTATGCGTTCCCGTAGGAAACGATGTGGTCCAGGTCGCCGTACAGTGGGTGCGCGGTCGGGCAGTATGCGATCATCGCTACCGTACATGATCGCCAATAAATCTTCATCAAGAATTGCTTTGGCGCTGTGGCGGCAACGCCATTAACATTTTACTAGGAAACCATGTTTTTATTGACTTTTCGGTTCTTCCTCCCCATTCCAGAAATCTGCTGGTTCAACACACTGCCTTCACGAAGCCCAAAGCTACTTTCGCTGCGAGCTCTTTGTGCTGTCAAGGTGGCTTTCAGGCAGCTTTTCTGCTTCAGTTCACGCGTATACTGCTAAATCGCCCTCAGTAAATGTAAGCATTGTGCCGCATGCGACGCATTTTGATTCGCAATGAATTGTGTTACCGTAATCTCGTCACATTCTCTGGTGCTGAAGGTATTATGCTGCCTCATTGCGTCGCGCGCCATTCCCAGTTGTGAGAAAGTGTCACTTGACGGGCGAGAGCGGGCGTTGGACGCCCACAGGCGATTATGTTTGCGTTGGTAGGCATGTAGGAGGGTGACGACTGTGGATGTTCGCCCTGTAGTGCTTGTCCACCTGTCACTGACGACATGTTGCCGTATTTGGTGCGCTCGAACCATCGCCGATTGAATTTCAGCCGTCACAGCGTTTGTATGCGCATCCTTCCCGACAACACTACAGTCTGCTGAATGCATACCGTATTCAAAGGCAAACTTCATCGCCCAAAATGGGCTCAACGCTGTGCTATGGGTGGATGCACTTCAGTTGCACTTTGGCTGGCTATCCCCAAGCTATGCTCATTTGAAATCCCAAATGATCATCGTTAAGTGGCTCTTGACAAAACAGCGATCCAAGGCTAGGGATAAAGTTAGCAAGTTGTTCGTTTGTGTTTGATCATGTGTTGATGCGAGTTTTACAGGCGCACACATTGTCTCCGGCAATCCTGGATCACCAACGAGAACTGCTGCTGTGCATGGCCGACCTCCCGCCACACGATCTACAGCCGTCACTTCGACCGGAACATTCCGGAGACTCACTGGTGCTACTCATGACGAACAAGCGTTACGGACAGGCGCTACTTGCCCTGCGACAGCTGAGGTGGGCGCTCCTCATTAGTACCTCTAACCCGTCGCTTCCTTTTCGGATGGGGCGCTCTACTATTTGATCAACGCTCCAGTCACTGATCGTACGCTAATATGCAAATTTGCTTAGAGATTAGGCGTTCTCTCTCAGCTACCTAACGATCATAGGGGAAGGCCGGTCGGAGATGGAGCACGGGGTGTAAGTATATTTGTCGAGTTGTTGATGATAGAGGAGGTCAAGTGGATAAGCCCTAAAAATTCGTATGTCCCAGTGACATGAGTAGTGAGTGCATTCCGAGTGCTACATCGATGCGATGTTTTCGATCCCTGTCAGCACGGGAGGTGTCTGTTGTCGGGGAGTTGTCGCGCCCGCAGTCTTACGAGCTCTGAGAGATCATAGCGCGTCTCTTGTTGAAATTCGCGGATCATTATTTGCGAGATACTTGTGCGCGCAGGAGAAAAGAGGATTGTGCAGCGCGCTTAGTTGACGAACTGGCACTCTACAGTCCGACGCCTCGCGTACTCACCTGCGTTGTGTTACTGTAATGACACCGAAATCCAGACAGTCATCACCACCGAACTGTTTACATTTAGGACGGCGTTCGGAGCAGAATTCGGCTGTTGTGAGGCGTCTGACATCGATGTTCTACTGCTGATGTTCTGCAGAAGTCACTCGTTAAAGGCGTGGGCCCTGGTTGGCGCGGTTCCAGATGCGCTTCGTCGACAGAGTCAAAGTCTTCGTGACGCCAACGCCGACGTCGCGTCGGCTGTACGTCGACTGGCATCGGATTCTGTGGTGTCACATCGTGCATCGACAGCATCCTCGCTTACCGAATCCTTCCAAAAGATTTCCTATTTGCCCGATTAAATGTGCAGTTTTAATTTATAGTACTACTAGTATTATTTCGTACTGTATTTTTACCTACTGTCATCGCTGGTCGATTTTTTTCGTCACCTTTAAGAGCTTACTAGAGCTTGTTACAGGTTGTAAGTGTTGGTGTACAAAGTGTGCAAACTTGCTAGTAAATATCAGTCACAAGATTATCTTCTCATTCAACATCGCGCTACATGATCCTGGTACAAAACCCGAAGGGGATACTGTAGTGGACCCGAAGGATAATTGTCACTGAGGGTGCGAGAGCGTGGCGCTTATGTGAGGGCGTGACTCACTCATGTGACGGGGCGTCGACGCCTCTCGAAAACTCGTCTCCTGTGCCACGATTCTCGACCGTAATCCTACACCATTTTTCTCACAACACAGCAAAGACATAGTTAAATTTATAATCACTGGGAATGAACGTTTTGTACATGAACACAGACTGTGAGGAAGATCTCGCCGAGGCGAGGAATCGTCGTTGCGATGCAGAAGAACGACCGAATAAAGTCACGAAATGAACTGAACAGCATGAAATGAGGAAATGAAGAAAAGGAAAATGAAATGAAGAACTAAAGCTGAGCATCTGATATATTCTCAATCCTCTGCAATAATTATATCATCACTGTAAACATATAGTTGAATCAGCCCGAACAATGTCATAGAAGATCAAATGTATAAAGGAGAACAGCTTATACGGCACGACGAACTCCGAGAACGAGACGATATGTGGGAAGGGATAGGTGGACGTCCGGAGTTCGTCGTGGCAGATGGAGCCGTAGCCCGTCGTGACAAGATTAGAATATGTTAGGATGTACAGAAGTGGTGTCATGGTCTAGACAAGAGATCAGAAACATCGAATCCGCCTTTTCGGGGAGCTGGTGGCACGACGGCCGGACTAATAGTAGGGGGTAACAGTGGAGGTCGTAACAACGCTGCCTGCCACTGGGATATCATATCCGGAGTAGGATAGAACATATCGGAAGGGAAAGCAAAGGGAAACATTTGTGGAGGCAATCGGGGAGGACAGGAAGGAGTTACAGCAGTGGAGACAGGTGTGGACGTCTTCGGCGGCGGATCCTCCCGGACCTTTTTTGGAGCTGGGTCGTCGTCCTCAGAAGCGTCTTCGGACGGATGCGCAGACGACGAACGTGGCGACAGCTGTTCTCGAGCGTGATTCTGAAGAAGGCGCTTCTTCTCACGCTTTCCTGCGCCAGCATCTCGGAATCCCTTCGCGAACGGATTGTGATCGATCTTCAGTTGTGTGACCTGAAAGTGTTCAAAGTTCGTACCAATAGATTTGAACAGGATGCTGATGTTTTCTTAGCGGCGCTTTTATCAGAATGCCTCCAGTATCAGTGGCTAAGCTGCGCCTGATTGGGAGAAACGCAAACCGCAGCGAAATCACAGGCTTAACCGCTAGTGATATCTTAAGTGTACACAAAGCACGCCGCTACATCTAATCACTAACAGCTCAGCATGTGATAGCAGATCGAGTGGGTATCAGCATTTCAGCATATACAGTATGCGATGGTGTAAAAGCAAACCTTTTCGTTTTGGTACGCCGTCACGGCGATGAATTCGGTCTCCTTGAAGACGAACGTTCGAAATGTTGAGTAGGGAAGGTTCATGATCTCGGCACATCGAACAATATGCAGTCGTGGCTGATACTTGTGCATGGAGTTCAGGATGGTCTGAAAGAGGATAAGGTTCATTTGTGAAGCTGAGCAGAGTCCAAAACAGATCAATGGAGGTAAGAAAGCAATGAAGTACAGCCGTGACTAGCTATTTGAAGAGGTCTGTATAAACAGTTGCGTGTGCGTGTGTGTGTGGGTAATTACGCGCATTCACCTTGAGGTGCGAGTTGAGCCGGAGAGCGGAGTCGTTCATTGACGGTTAAATTGCACCGATTATCGTTGTCTCTCAGTCACTGAGACACCAGTGCACAAGGACCACGGATTCCGAGGTGAGGGGTCGAGTCGATTTCAAACGCGCATTTCACGCGCCACAATAGGAAACAACAGCCGAAGAACGGCAGCAGGCTGGGATCGAGGCAACGACGCCCATTGAAATTGGAAAAGGAGCGCTGAAATATGGCTGGTCGTAATAAAACGCGGCAAGCGTTTGCTCTGGTAGCCCTGGCGACTTCCACACTTGACATAAACGAGCATCCGTTACAGCACCACGTCAATTTCTCACCGACAGTAGTGGAAGGCAGGTGAGGCAGATTGGTGACAGAAGTAAATCACGAGCAGCTCTAATTAAAACAGCAAAACTGGCGATTTGAGCAGGGCAAAAGTGAAAAACGAGGATGGAAGAAGTCAAATGGCAACTGTGAATTCGCGGAAAGAGGAATGAAATAAAATTATAGGCGACGAAGGAAAGAATTGACAAAAACACTCACATATCCCTGCTTATCCGAGATGTTGTTGGTGAGCTTGAGCTTGTGAAAGTTGGCTCCTTTGGCCATCCAATGCTCACCAGTGGCCGGAGAATCCGGATGAATGTACATCCGCTTCGGCATTTCAGGATCCGCCTTGCCAGCGACCATCCACCTGAATTTCACAACAATTACAACCCAGCAAGACCATTTCAAGAAAAACTGAAATCTGGACTCTGATGGCCGTTTGTTTGAAACAGGCGCTTGATAACACACGTGCCACACACACCTAACAAATTTTCAAGTGGTAAAAGATAGCAGCACGGACGGCAAGCGACGAGAAATTAATGGCCTGTCATAAAAGGTGTCATTACTATCAAATCAGGGGAATAGACTGGTAACATCCTACGATTCATCACACAAACCCGTAAGTCGGAAATTCTAAGATAGCTATTTCAAGGAACAAACCTGCTATTGTTGAACTTATAACGGCACTCATCAGCAGGTACTAAATCCATTAAGAAGATGTACTTGCTCTTCTTGTCGAGTCCACTGATTTTCACACGAAACGCCGGGAATATGCGTCTGAAATTGGGCAAATTCAAAAGGAACGTCATACATCACGAAATGCTCAGCATGCGACAAGTGAATGATAAACAACTACCTCCCACTTTTGGTAATCACCATTTCAGTGCCACAAGAATTAAACGAGTTCCAGAGCTCCTTGTCGTCCAGTTCGACCTGTGGATCATCCTGCACACCGTCGTCGTCATTCCGGGTTCGCATGTCCGGTAAATCAGGTGGTAGACGGGGAAAGAATCCCGGAGCCCCCGGTAGAGTAGGTAGATGACCCATGAAGGGCAGAAGTGCCAGATCGGGACGACTCAGGAACGGGTTGAACGCCATGCTCGCATCTCACACGCGCAACTGCCGAAATTGACACCTCAACTTGTGCCACGCCCCGTGAACGCTGATTGGCGGCTGTCCGCCTAGGGGCGGGGCAACAGCGATGGAGGTCGGTCGGCGGCGACGTGCTGACTACGGTAGTCGCGGCTAGCCACACATGCTATCAATGACCGCCGCAGACAGACGCCTTTCAGACATGAAGTGTGGCATCGCTTCTGTGGTAAAATTCGTTTCCTGGCTCTTCTCGCTCCTAAAATGGTCCTCCGTACGATCAACCCCTGCATTGTTACGGTCAAACTCATTCTATTTCCTTGGACTGTGTCGGTGTTTTCGTTCATGTTGTGGTTATCAGTCGTCGAGCTTCTCGTCGCTCATCTGGTCACTTCGAAGCTTGTTCTGGTGCAGTGTCAGTCGCGCTATCCCTTTGAAGCCTCGGATAACTGCGCGGTCGTCTACCAATTTTTTTTCGAATTAACGTGCGCGAACATTTCGTTCATATCTTTATTCGACATGGGAATGAGCACCATCGAACACAACGATGGAAGCCGAGGGCGATAGGCGCGACGGTCCGTGGCGACGAACCCTCGCTTAATCGATTCGCACAGCTGATTTCGAGTGAAACACTGCGCAAGTACGCGCCTCTCGCGCATAAAACTTGTGTGTTAAGTTCGAAAGTGTTCGATAAGAAACTAGCACTCATGACAAGGAAGGTACCGGAGGATCAACAAGTAACAGTAACAAGTAAGGCGAGGATAACAATCAATATAGGGATAATATCTGCAGTGATCTATTCAAGTGATCTTAAGCTCTCAACGTCAGGATGTACGGCCATTTCATCTTCTAGGCGAATAAGAATTCCGATGAGGGCGTGCAAAGTGTGCTCCTGTTGTGCAGCCAACAACTTCACGCCACCAATCCAGCCCGTTTTTGCCGGTTTCTCATCCACGTCTTCTGTTGCTCGGTCTAGTTCTCGTAGGATGGCGTAGACTCCTCTCTTACGAAGGTGTTCACGAGAATGTCGTGTGGAGCACAACTGGAATAAAAGTATCGGTGAACTTGAGTCTTTTGCTGAGGAAAGAATTTGTTACCTGATAGAGGGCCTCAACCAATTTCTGTCGCGTTGGTATCGATGGTTCACGAGTTCCTTCATAGTACTGAAGCCTGAGAGGGAGCTTTTGAATCTCCTCGTCACTGAGCTCATCTGAGCAGTCCGCCAAAGGGGCCAGCAGGGCAACCAAGTAGACATCGGTGTCGTCGAGAAGAACTGGATGGAGGGCTGCAATTGTTTCAGTATGGCGAAAAGCGTGTTTTAGGGAAAAGCGTCTGCTCATGATGGCCTCGTTAGCGCTGTTGATAAACATCATCTAATGATGCAATAGTGGTGATGGTTGTCGTCCGCACATCATAACGATGCCCTCCAGTGGCACTTGACGTGGCGACCATAATCAGACACGCAGCTCTAAGCGACACATGGTCGAGCGCATAAACACACATGTCGTCGCGATTGCCGCCCGCAGCTCTTCCGCCGTCCGCATCTACAGACCCGAGCCTGTGTCTACACACAAGGCAGTACACCACCCCAACAAACAGAAGATGTTTTCGAGACCTGGACAAAGGAACACAAGGGGTGCTTTGGAATAATGAACAAGTGTCAGTCATAAATAGCCGTGTGAGCTGTGAATGAGGTCAATATTTCCATTCATGCGGTTAAAAACCCCCACTGGCAGACCTAACCGCAGAACTACGGTAGCCCATTGGTGGTTGCTGCTTGTCAAGTGAGAAGAAGAACAGCAGTGTTTGCGCCTCGGTGAGATATTATGTGCCACACGCACAACAGGTGTTTCTGTTGAGAGGGAGAGATCTCACACGAGGTGACGGCCATGCTCAACACTCCCCAGTACCGCCGCTTCACACACCCTCTCGTTCCTGATTTCCCTGCTTCTTGAATTCAGCACAACAACAACTTCGCCTAGAATGTTCTGTTGAGTAGGTGCCATCATCATCATCAGTGTGTTGGCGAAACTCCTTAGGGTCTTGTATGGGACTCATTGCTTTCCTAATTGTGCTCAATTCCACAAGTTGCGGTGCCAAATTGGACGAGCCGGGCGCGGAACTCTGATCATCCACGAAACACACACTCTATCCACCCGCGCTGGCTCTAATGCCATTGCGACACCGGCATGGAAACAAGTGAGAAGATAATTAGCATTTAACCAACGCGAGTGGAATAACAACGAATCACTCGGGTTGCGTTAGCCATTTGCCCAAATAATTACCCGACGCGTGGATACGGTATAAACCAGAACCTCGACTCAGAACTACACCGGTTCTCCTGGCGAGGCGAGGTGTAGAGCTAGCAGCTACAAGTGCGCGGTGCGTTAAAGGTCAGATTCGTATGTTCGGCTCCGGGACTCATAGCGGGTGGTACATATGTTGCGGTTGTAGTGATTCTGACCCGGGGTGCGGGTTGCGGTGATCGACGGCCGCAACTGTCGCGCATCGCACTGATCATAAGCCTATACTACTAATTGTCGTAGACAATGACCTCAGAAGTGCTCGACTCGGGAACATCTGTAACAAAAACAATCGCAGACGAGGGCGGATGTTCAGCGAAAAATACTTTACGCGTATACGGTAGTCGTATTTGGGGCCAAATACTGACCGCGTCGTGCGACTTTCGACACCCTCGAAATTCAATTTACAGCTTCGCGAAATCTTACACGCAATCAAAGAGCGCGTGATAGGCAGAGAGCGACGGCATCAGCAGCGTAGTGTAGGGCTCACCCGCGAGCAGTCCCAATCGTCTGAGCCCTACTGATAGTCGGTGATTAGCGTAACCACAGAGAAACGCGGCAGCGCTACGGCGGCGGGGCCAGATGCGGTGATAAAGACCGCAATCACATCAGATATTTACATACGCAGCACATACATACGTCAAACAAACAAAGCAGCAGCCACTGACTGAAAAGGGGGCAGCTGCGCCCCACAGAGGAACCATAAGCTTCAACGGAAGCCTTTCCTAATGACAAAACTCACAGGTCCCATTACCTCGCTGAAGGAAGTCTTTTCTCAGAAATTCTCACTATGAAAAACTGATGGTGCAGGAACATACAGGGCAAAAACTGCCACTTGTGATTCACTTTTGAGGACAGAAAAAATAAAAATAAAAAGACTAGGAAATTTTGTTTTCACTTTTGCGTTTTAGTGAGTGATAGAACACTGCAATCAATCTAGAAGGGCGCTCAGGGATTTTACTGTCGCCTAGAGGAAATTGACCTTCACGGCACCTACAAGAAAAGTGGATTACTCTGAAAAGTTGGAATAAGATTATGATATTCTCTCAGTCTATATTCTCTCAGTCTCAGATGATGAAAACAATGGGCGAAACAGTTTATCAATTGTTTTTCGCAGCGATTTGCCTCTGGAAGCCAAGAGCCAGGATCAGACCTATTCAAAATGCTTCAACATTCCTGTCTTAAATTTTACTCAACTTAAAGGTTGTTCTTAGGAGTAGATCCAGCCTCACGTTAGGTTAGAGGGAACGCGGTCGCGTTATCTTAAAGCACTTTAAGTGTCGAATCACGTCAAGGCTCCCCTTGTCGGGACACGGATGGCGGGATCGGATGTCGGATTTAAGCTGAGGTCAGAGAGTCGTACGCCGGCGCAACACACGCACACCACAAGAGGAAAAGCTGCTGAGCGGTGGCTCGAGAGTGTGGCCACATCAGAGGACATGAGGAAAAGTGATGAACGTTTTCAGATAAAGTCATATGAAGGATAAAATGAACAGAACCACTTGGGAGCGTCGCAAAGTTGACCGTGATCGTGGCGTTTTTGTGAGAAACGGCACTACAAAACCAACACAGTTTGAGGAGCGTGGAGTGTCATCGTGACGACTCGGGCCCATCTATCATGACGATTCGCGCGACGACGAAGCACGCGACCGCGGCGGCTCATCTTCAAAGGAATCGTTGACAGAATTGCAAGGCTGGAACACAACAAGGACGTCGATGGCGAAAAACTGGCGTCAGCGATGGATGAACGCGCGTGCGCGCATCGCGAAGCCTCTATCGCTCATATCGCTCGACTCTCTCGCGAATCGGTTGTCAACTGTTGTCTCTCGTCTTCGTTCTCAATTCTTCTCGCAGTGTCGGTTAAGTCAGGTCATAAAGCAGCACTGAAGCCACCGCTACTGAGAGGCGCTCATGATAGCAGTGCCCGCAAGAACTGGACGCCACCCTTACGTTCGCAGCGCGTCAGAACATCCAAAGAGTAGCAACGATGATCGGGGCAAAGTGCTCGAGTTGAGGGCAGGAACAAAAAGTGGATCCCCGTCAGAGACGACATCTATAAGCCTCGGCCTGATGCGCGCCACATAGACCACGCTGGTCTCAAGTGATTGTGGTCAGCTCTCTGTAGTGAACAAGGTGAGCACTCAGAGCGGCATGGCGGCCTCAGCGACCACCCGCTTGCGGTGCAGCCAATCACCTACAATAAAAGCTTTGGTCCGATTAAAGAGGAGATACAGGGCGTCTCGTACACTCGTCTGCCACTTTTGGCGCTGACCTCTGTGGTGTTTCTTCCCACAGAAACTTGATCAAACACTTATTAGGCGTCCAGCGCAACAGCGTCCACGACTGGAGGTAGGCAATGATTCATAAAAGGCTCTTGTAAAGCAATCCGGAAGAAATAGGAAATTGAAAAAGATAGAAGGGTTAGAAGGAAAGCTAAGGAACTAACCGTCTTCAAAGGCCATATTCCGTAGAATGTCTGCGGCCATCTCTTTCCTTCTCTTCAACCAGGGTTAGAGGACAGATTTTGTTGAGTAGACCGCCATCGACTAAGCGATGCCTGACTGACGACAGTGTGGTCAAATTCACCAGTGTATAACCAACAAGCGACGGAGTCGAGTCTTCAGAGGGTGTTGAGAAAAGTTCTGAAATGCACTCAAATGCAAACTGTCATTAATTCATCCACCTATTGAGCTTTTAGCTCCTTAAGTGACACCTTCAGTATTAGAAAGCAAGACGGCCCGCAGAAATCATTAAAAAATAGAAATTTCTCCTCAAGAACCCCGAACTTGAATCATCAACTGAAAATTCTAAAAAGCATTTTTGCAATTTTGTAAAACAGCGTAAGCATTTTCTTCATACCTCATCAGATCGAAACGAAATTCCAGCGCTAAGCTTCTAATGATTTTTCATTTGGACCACAAAAGGCACTATTAACTGGAGAAAAGAAGGGTTCCACTTTTAGTTTCAGTCCAAATCAAAGACCAGGAAGGTACCATTATCCACTCATAAACGCTTCTTCCACCCTTTCACACCATTACTTCCATGTCTTCGGTCTTGATGGTCAGCGTTGTTCTCGAACGTGTGTGGTCGCAGAACGAGCCCCATTACCGTATCCGGTAACGGAGTGCGAAAGAATCGCTAGCACCTCTCACACCCTGCACAATACGCGTCAACACGTCACACTACAAACGCGGTGATTCGATTAGTTAAATCAAGCGCAGAGACGACTGTGCGTTGTTTCGTTCATCAGCCAGATAACCTGTAGTCAGCCTTCTGTACAGAGATGGACAGGCCGACGGCGTTTTTACTCGGCGCATGATCATCTACCTGCGCATCGCCATCCTTGGTCACGCCTCACAACTGCTCGACCGACTTGGGATGTGACGTCAATTCGAGGAGTCGCAGCGTCAATCACCAGGAGAAATTCCGTGATTTGTTGTAGTGCGAACATGATCGCCAGTGATTGACGAGAACACGGAATGGCGGCGTGATGGCGAAAAACCCACAGCCACTGTCATGAGAAATGAGCATTCGACATCGCAACTGCTTCGTCGTCACGTCACCCAGGCTACCTGACCGCGCTTAGGTAGACGTCGAAGCACTCAAAACGCTTCACTGGGGCAAATACACTGAGATGGCGTAACGGCCGTGCGATATGCTATCAAAGCCGACCTCTATCATATAACTCCGTCTAACGAGCACATAAATCATCGCGAACGGAGACTGTCATCCGACCATGACGCACATTAACCTGCACTACATCTAGCTGGGTAGTGGCAGTTGCTTTTGAGTGTTCACAGTTGTGGTGGCAATGGGGCGAGCTCGATGTAGTGTCTGTGTCGACACCTGCCGTTAAATGTTTCATTGGGCTGGAACCCGCGAAAAGGCTGTTATCAGTCAACTCGTTCTTTGACGACACAAAGCGCACCAGTCACTTTAACAATTTGATGCAATTACTCGCGACAACCGCACTAACATTGCTGACGGAATGGGAGAGATTGCGCTCATGGTTACCTGCCGTAGCCGGCGCTGGAAGAACAGGGGTGACTTTGGACGACCACTTGACTTTG